GCCAGGATAGTCTCAATCTCCTGACCTCGTGATCCACCCGCCTCGGCCTCCCAAAGTGCTGGGATTACAGGCTTGAGCCACCGCGCCTGGCCTGGGATTTCTTTGGACATATACACAAGTGTGGAGACAGATTTCATGTAGAGAAATTATAGGTCAAAGGGCACCGACTTGAAATATTTCAATAAACATTGCCAAACAACACTCCAAAAAGGCTGAACGAGGTGATCAACCCTCCCACCAACAGAGACACATGTTTTCATTCTGTTTATCACACTGTGGAAGGAAGGCCTCTGCCTGTGTCCTGTGTCCCAAGGTGAACCAGCCTCCTGGAGAGGCCCTGGCCCGGCCTCAGAGACAGCACAAACGAGTCTCCTGCCCAGGCCAGGTCCAGTTCACTCCCACACCAACGACTTCTTAGCCCCACACTAGTAGACCTATTAGGTCTTTCTGTGGCTCTGGGTGGCAGTACCGATCCCCGCCCACCTCATAGGGACACAAGGTTCCTCGATGCTCAGTCCACATCTGCAGGGTGCCTGCGTACTCCAGGGCAAGGCAGAAGAGTGGTAGATTCCTTTTGTATGGTTCTGCCTCACTCCTCCAGTACACTAGCCCAAAACTCTGACCCTAACCTGAGGCTGGAATCAGCTTCCATTATTTCAGACATCCTCCGCATAGACAACCTCTGGCAGTTTGAGAACTTGAGGAAGCTGCAGCTGGACAATAACATCATTGAGAAGATCGAGGGCCTGGAGAACCTCACACACCTGGTCTGGCTGGGTAAGGCCCTTTCCTGTGTGTGTCCACCCTAATCAAAAGTGACACCCTGCCAAGGTTATTGCCTTCCCAGGAGACAATAATTGTATGTGACGCTCAGCTGCCGGGCCATCATTAGCCAGGGTACGGCAGAAGCTCTGCCTGCTGGGAGCAAGAAAGCTGCTATTTTTTAAAAGCCTAGGGCTTGTGCTGGGCAAAACGCAGCAAAGATGTGCTCAGACACAGGACCACAGAACATTCTGCTCTTACCTGCCCAAACTTTCTGTCTGGATGGGGCACAAAGGGGCAGCTGTGGACTCTTATTTAATCTAGACTCAGGCTGACAGATAACCATCGACAGGTAATCATTGGCTGGTGGGACCCAGATCAAACCAGGAATCATCGTCACAGAGGCTAGTGTGTTTCAAGCACTTAACTACATGCTAAGTGGGGCCTGTATGCTTTCCATATGAGTCTTTCAGTTCACACAGCATCTCCATCATAGAGATGAGCAAACTAAGGTCACTGCCACCGCATCAGGCCTCACTGCCAAGGCCATGGAGGGTTTTGATGAGGTGTTCCTTCTGCTGGCCTCTTAGGAGCATCCTCACATCTGGTGAGGGCCAGTGGGCCCCTAGCAGGGAAAAGGTGATGGGCCTGAGAGCTCCTTATGCACTGTCTTGTTTAACCCCCATTTTAATCCTAAGAGTTGGGCATCTGTTATAATCCCAACCTACAGAAGAGGAGCTGAGACTCAGAGAGCCCCAGGCACTTGCCCAAAGCTGCACGACCGAGAAGTATCAGAGCTGGGACTCACCCTGACGCCTGTCTGACCTCACAGCCCACATTCCCTCCATCCTATCAGGTGGTCTCCTGGTAATAAGGGCACCCTGGGGCATCATGAGCCTCCCAGTTTGCCAAACACTCCCAACCTCCTTTGTGCTAACAGTTGCAAGCCCACAGCAAACCCACAGGCAGGGTTATGCTGCCATTTCACACATGCAGCAACTGAGGCTCAGGGAGGCTGACCAGCTTGATGGAGCCACGTGCTACAGGTAGCAGAACCAAACCACAGCCAGGTCCTCTGACACCTGGGCCCAGGTCTCGTCCCGTTTCTCATTTCTCTGCACCCTAGCACCCATTAATGCTGATTCCTGAATGCCATGGTTTTAAGCAGGAGCTCCCTGGCCTGGCTGTCTCTCAGACATAAAGCAAGTGCCACTGAGCCCCATGACAGCCCCCTGTTTCTGTCTGCTTACCCAGAGAGAAACTTGAATACTGGTCTTGGTTCCCTCCCTAACAAAAGCTTATCTTCCTACTACTTGGCGCCCCTACACACACACTTCCTAGTCAGCTCATTCCCCCGACCCCTTGCAGTGGCCATCCATGCTTCCAAGGGTCACTGGACTGACAGCCAGTGCTCCCTGGGATGGGGGTGCTAGAGCAGTGACAGCAGGCTCTGGTAAGAGGTCACGCTGCCCCTCAGAGTATAGTCAGAAGCTGGTCTTTGTCCAGCCATGGCACTAGGTGCCCAGGGACCCAACCACAGCCAGAAAAGCTGGGTCCCTGGGATGCTGAGGATGGGGGTTAGGGAAGTGGCACTCCCATGGTTCAGCATGACCTCTCACACTGACATGCACGGGGCTGAGGATGTGCTGGAGCTGGCTAGCACTGGCTGTACACAGCTCTTCCCAACTTTGCTTCCAGGGATGCCACGCTGGTAGCTTGAAATTGGCCACAGTGGGAGTATTTACACCACAGAAATGAGCAAGCACCTCAAATCAGGGGTTTTCCTCAGCCCGCATTGGTAAACACTTGCTAGCACACCACTAGTGGGTGGGCTAAGCCTCCCAAGAACAGAACCCGGTGGCATGGTGGGGAAGGAAGTGTGCAGGCCTGTCATTTGTTAGACCCCCGTTCAAACCCCAGCTCAGCCAACACACTGACTCTGCACAAGATAGTCCACTCTGTGAACCTCAGTTTCTTTTTTTTTTTTGAGACAGAGTCTCACTCTGTCGCCCAGGCTGGAGTGCAGTGGCACAATCTCGGCTCACTGCAGCCTCCGTCTCCCGGGTTCAAATGATTCTCATGCTTCAGCCTTCCAAGGAGCTGGGATTACAGGTGTGTGCCACCATGCCTGGCTAATGTTTTGTATTTTTAGTAGAAACAGGGTTTTGCCATATTGACCAGGCTGATCTCCAGTTGCTGGCCTCAAGCAATCTACCTGCCTCCACCTCCCAAAGTGCCAGGATTATAGTCGTGAGCCACCACACCTGACCTGAACCTCAATTCCTTTATGGGCTGCGCTACCTTGAGCATATTACCATAAGGCCCATTTGAATCTCCATTTCCTCATCTATAAAATGGTATGATATCTCTGCTATGAGGATTAAACAAGGTAATGCACTTAAAGGGCCTGGCATAGAGAAAGGACAGTTATCATTGTTCTCAATGTCAACAGGTGAGCATCCCCTCATATGCAGAGGAGGCTCAGTTAGGATGTGGTTAAACTCAACTCCCAAATCACTTTTTTTTTTTTTTTTGACACAAAGTCTCACTTCGTCACCTAGGCTGGAGTACAGTGGCACAATCTTGGCTCACTCCACCTCCAAGGTTCAAGTGGTTCTCGTGCCTCAGCCTCCTGAGTAGCTGGGATTACAGGCATGTGCCACCATGCCCAGATAATTTTTGTATGTTTAGTAGAGACAGGGTTTCACCAGGTTGGTCAGGCTGGTCTTGAACTCCTGATCCCCCAAGTGATCCACCCACCTCAGCCTCCTAGAGTGCTAGGATTACAGGTGTGAGCCACCACACCCAGCCGCAAATCACCTTTTAAATGTGATCACTGTGGTTATCATGCTCATATTTCCAAGCCTAGGAAAAATGCTCATTTTTGGCTTCTAGGCCATTGGTGTTCCAGGACAAGATAACAGCCCCACCTGCCTGAAAACCTGTGGTGGGGAAAAAGTACTTTTAGGCCGGGCATGGTGGCTCACACCTATAATCCCCACTTTGGGAGGCCGAGGTGGGAGGATCACTTGAACCCAGGAGTTTGAGACTAGCCTGGGCAATATGGTGAGAGCCTGTTTCTATAAGAAAAATTCTAAAAAATTAGCTGGATGTGGTGGCGCGTGGTCCCATCTACTCAGGAGGCTGAAGCAGGGGGATCACTTGAACCCAGGAGGTCAAGGATGCAATGAACTGTGATTGCACCACTGCACTCCAGCCTGCGCAACAGAGTGAGACCCTGTCTCGAAAAAAAAAAAAAAAAAAAAAAGATGGTACTTTTTTTCCCAAAGATGTGGAATTAGTCTGAAGTCTCGGTTGGGGTTGAGGTTACAGTTGATGAGGGAGCCTGAGACAGCTGTGAGGGAGCTGGAAGAAACTGACCTACCACATGTCCAGGGAGAAGCCTTAGATGAACTCTGGCCCCACCGTGGTTAGCTGTGTGGCTTTGGGCAAATCACTGAGTCTCTCTGAGCTTCTGCTTCCCAAATGATCAAACAGGGAGACAAATTCCAAACTACCACTCAGGGCTGATGTCAGAGGACATACACATGAGTGCTTGATAAACTGGTAAATGCAAAGCAGACAGGAGGTGGTCTTGCTAAAATGCCACAGTGTGAGGAAAGGGGACACTCCACCACTGTCTACCCCTGACCCCCAAGGGCACTGCTTCAGACCTGCAGGTTAGCATTTTCTTCCCAGAACTATGACAGAGCATAGACAACAGTACTTGCCCGCATGTCCCCAGCCAGGAGGATGATTGGCAGAACTGGAGAGGGCAGTGAACATTTAAGGCAGCAGGAAAGAATCCACACCCGCTTCTAAAAAATTCACAAACTATTAGATAGTGAGTCAAATTCCGGCCCTGGCAGCTTGGTGCTGGCTCACAGGGCACTCGGTAGCCCTGATGATTTTATTTCAGGACAGCCCATCCCCTGACCCAGGCAGCAGACCCTCACAACCCTCTCTTCTTCCCAGATCTGTCCTTCAATAACATTGAGACCATTGAGGGGCTGGACACACTGGTGAACCTGGAGGACCTGAGCTTGTTCAACAACCGGATCTCCAAGATCGACTCCCTGGACGCCCTCGTCAAGCTGCAGGTGTTGTCGCTGGGCAACAACCAGATTGACAACATGATGAACGTGAGTGGCCGCCCAGCCCGCCCTCACACACACCTGCAGGGCCTGGAGCGCCATGGGTTGAGTGGGAGTTTGTGGCGAGGGGAAGTACAGGCTGAGTGTTCCAGATCTTCTCATTTTCCTGGAAAAGCCAGGAATCCAGATTACTCCACGAGGGATTTGCTAATGTTTAAATACCACGCTTAACCCAACAAAATTCATCGGAGAGCACTAGTTTACAATCTCCACATTAGTAGCGGTTCTTTCCCTGAATCTTGCACTTATATAACAAACATTTGCTGAGACAAGTACCTATTAATGTTGGGCATATGTCCCGTGCTCACTAGAAACAGAGACAGACAAGATGTGGTCCCTTTGGAGTGACCAGCACACACCCCCATAGTCAAGACACAAGGAGACAAGAAGCCAGTGACCCGAGGAACAATAAAATAAGGCCTGTGGATGGTAGGAGGGCACCCCGAGGCTTAGGGGTGTGCACAAGTGGCAGTGGACACAGCTGGGGGTGTGGTGGCAGCTTTAAGGGTCCTGTGTCAGAGGCGATACATCAGATGGCTCCTGGCTTTTGCTTCTGCAACCCACCAACCCTGGGGGCTGTCCAGTAGCCTCTAAAGATTCCTTTTCTGCTTAGGTCAGTCAGGTGGCCTGGGTTCAGATCCCAGCTGCAGGTCATGGTGGCTTAGATGAGTGGCCCGGGAGGGTCAAGCACTGAGTTGTGACTGGCATGTAAGCACACAGTTGTGACCAGCTGTCCAGCGGGACCAAACCCCTGTAGTCTCAGAAGTTTGCCCTGCACATGACAGGAGCATCTAAACCCAACCAAGGGTCAAGCCTTCTATGCCTCCGTTTCCTCATCTGTCAGATGGAGACGATGGCCATGACCCCCCTGCCCAGGCCCTCGCAGGAATCAAGTGGGACCATGAATGTAACGCATTTGGTTCGGTGTCAGGCTGGAGTATGTTCCTAACAAATGGAGGACTGTCGTAGCTGAGGGCCTTCCTGTGAGTGTTGGGATGAGGGGAACTTGGTGCAGACTCACTGAGAGATGACTAGAAGTTGCCATCCAGCAGAAGGAAAAGGCTTCCCAGGAGGAGGGAATGGTGTGAGCAAAGGCCTGGAGGTACACTGGGAATGCCTGCCTGCACTCGCCGTTGAGGAGCACAGGGTCCCTGGACGAGGTCAAAGGTGTGTGGTGCAGGGTGGGGCTCAGGATGTGGCCGGGCCTCGCCACAGTCAGTCAGGATGGCCAGAGAAGCAGTGGGAGCTGAGGAGGCTTCTGTCTGAGATGTATTTGGGGCAGGTCTACATTTAGGAAGGAATCCACCCCCGTGAGGATGGGTTTGAGGGGGATTGTGAGAATGGGTCACCCCAGGACAGTTCCACCAGAAAGGATACTGTACCTGCAGGTAAGGGAAGCTGGTCCCAAACTGGCTGGAAGCAGAGTTTGCATGCAGGGCCTTGCATGCAGGTGGCCGGTTTGAGAGGTGGCTTCAGGAAGCTGGAGTAAGAAAGGCAGGGAAGAACCAACACACAGGTGTGTCACCGAGACTGCTGCCGCAGGTGATGAGGGAGGATTCCCCTGGGCCTCGGAAGTGTCCAGAATGCCTCCCAGAAGTGACCATCTAAGGACAGGAGCCTGAGGCATGGATCCCCCCACCAGCTGAGGGAGATCCCAGGGGGATTAGCTTCCTCGCCACCTGGCTTTTGGGCTGGGTGGGCTTCTTTGGCTTCAGAGACATCTCTGAGGCAGAAAGTGAGTAATGAGGTAGGACACTGCCAGCTACGGTCTCTCATGGCTACAGCTGAAGCCGGAGGTAAGCTGAGCCCCTGCGGCAAACAACAAGGGCATTTAGTGGCGTGATAATTGGCACTGCAAGGAAGGGGTGCTTATCAGCAGAGCTTCAAGGACGTGGGTTCCTTCTGCCTCTGGGCTCTGCCGTCCTCAGCATCTCCCCAGAGCTTGATTCTCTTATGGTCGCAGTCAAGGACACGGGTTTCCTTGTCTGCATCTAGCAGGATGGAGAGAGCAAGAACTCCCCTTCTCACAGTGGCCCTTCAGTCTGATCGAGCCACCTCAGGGTCTACACTGACCCTCAGCCTAACATCATGGCTGGGAGATGGCCAGGCTGGGCTTACATGAACAGCCTGGGGTGGGAGCACCGAGCTGTCACTGGCAGTTCCGCCAGGTCAAGCCACAGAGGTGGTGCAGTCTCAGAAGTTTGCCCTGCATGCCAGACAGGCAGCATCCAAACCCAGCCAATACCCTCTGCAGGGCTCAAGTCCTGATTGTCCAGCCTGCCCTGCCCTGTAAGGGCAAGGAAGCCAAATGCTTGCCAGCAGGATGTCTGGACGAGGCATGGAGGGCACAGGCGAACTCGAGAGCTGAGATTTAGTCAGCCTGTGTTCAGATCTCAATGCTGCCACCTACCAGCTGCCTGACCTTCGGCCAGTGACTTTGAGTTCTGGGTGCCCATTTACCCACCTGTAAAATGGGAATGATAGTAGTTCCTACTCCATAGGGTTGCTGTGAAGATGGACCCATTAGAGAACCTTTTGTGCTTGATACAGGGCCTGGCACGTAGTAAGTGCATGGAAAATGACAGTCAAGAACATTCAGATTAAGAGCTCACCCCAAGCAACTCCAAACCTTGCTGCTTGAAACTCTAGATTGAGCAGATGTTCCTGTCTTGGTGGGTCCTACACCCCAGGGCCCACATGTGAATGAATCTCCTCTGTTTGTTTTCCTCTGGACATTTGGAAAGTTTAATGGAGCTGAGGCCCTGTCCCTCTGAAGGGCCAGGCCTGGGCATGAGAGGGTATGGACAGTGTGAGGTAGACGTGCTTGTGCCCTGCCGGGACACCCCACTCTTGCCTTTCTCCCATCCTGCCCCTGCAGGGACTGGGCAGGAGGAAATCCCATCACCCTTTCCCAGTGGGGTGCTGGGTGCCAGGTATTCCCTCTGGAATATGGGAGAAGCTGGTAAAGCCCATCCCCAGAGAGAAAGAGGATGGAAGACGACCCATGGGGACAAGCTGCTGGGGAATGCTGAGATGTCTGGGTCAGGTGCTCCCGAGGTCTGGCCGCATCCCAGGGACCCTGGAGACCCTAGATGCTCTTCACCAATCAGGCGCTCGCCCTCTTGATGACCTGACCCAGAGAGTCCTGACGGATACTTCTCAGGTACTAGCTCCAAACCCCAAGCATCTTTGATTTTAGTCCTTATCTGCCCTGTTTATCTGGCATCTCATTATGTACTTTCTTGTCATTTATATATTTATTAGGCTTATGTTAATTTCTGCTCATTGCATTAAAAACAGATGTTTAAGCAGAATGCAGGGCACACAGAAAAGAGGCTCACTCACTCCTGGCCTCTGTCCTTCCCTTCCAGAGGCCCCAGCCGCTTCTAAGTTACATGTGTGTCTTTCCAAGAGTCTTGTGTTAAACATTGTGCATGATTGTCACATCTGTCCAGCTACCCTCCAAGCACCTGCCTTTGGTGTCTCCTTTCCTCCTGAGTCATCAGCTCGCCCTCTCCGCGGGTTCATTCCACCACTCAGGTGCAGCGTGATGTGGGTTCCTAGTTCCCTGTAGGTGGGTGTCAAGGTTGTTTCCAATCTAGTGCCATTACACACAGTCTGTAGTGGACGTTCTTAAACAGGGGTCACTTTGTACCTGGATAAGCCATCTGCAAGATAAACTAGAGAGGAATTGCTAGGCCAAAGGGCATGTGCATTTTAAATTTTGACAGATCTTGCCAAGTGGAAGTGGAACTATTTACAAAGCCACCAGCAATGATGAGGCAGCCTGTCGCCTCTCACCTTCTACAACACACTTTGTGGAATCTTGCTGGGAGATCTCTTAAAAATTAAATCAGGTCCTGTCTCCCCGCCTCCCCACCCATACACACTTAAAACTCCAATGGTGGCCAGGTGCAGTGGCTCACGCCTATAATCCCAGCACTTTGGAGGCTGAGGTGGGCAGAGCCTATTATCCTAGCACTTTGGAGGCCAAGGTGGGCAGATTGCCTGAGCTCAGGAGTTTGACACCAGCCTGGGCAACACAGTGAAACCCCGTCTGTACTAAAATACAAAAAACTAGCCAGGCGTTGCGGTGTGCGCCTATAGTCCTGGCTACTTGGGAGGCTGAGGCAGGAGAATTACTTGAACCCGGGAGGCAGAGGTTGCAGTGAGCTGAAATCACACCACTGCAACTGCACACCAGCCTGGGCGACAGAGTGAGACTCTATCTCCAAAGAAAAAAAAAGAAAACAAACAAACAAAAAATCCACTGGCTTCTACCATCCTTAGAACAAACTGAAGGCAGGGGCTCAGTGGCTCATGCCTGTAATCCCAACACCTTGGGAGGCCAAGGAGGGCGGATCACTTGAGGCCAGGAGTTCAAGAACAGCCCTGCCAACATGGCAAAGCCTTGTCTCTAATAAAAATACAAAAACATTAGCCAGGTGTGATGGCATGCGCCTGTAATCTCAGCTACTCGGGAGGCTCAGGCAGGAGAATGACAGTGAACCTAGGAGGTGGAGATTGCAGTGAGCCAAGTTGCGCCACTGCAACTCCTGCAGCCTAGGCAACAGAGCGAGACTCCGCTAAAAAAAATAAAATAAAAAATTCTAAACTCTTGACCTGCATGGTCTTGCATGAATCAGCCCCTGACCTTGTCACTACTCCCATCTCAGCTTCTTCCCAGCCTCCTCCCCACCATGCTGCAGCCACCCTGGCTTTTGCTCAGTGCCTGGTATGTGCCAAGTTCTTTGCTGCCTAGGGCCTTTGCCTGTGCTGTCTTGGCTTCCAGGAATGTGCTCTCCTCTGCTCTTCTGCGCTGGCTCCCTCAGGTCTCAGATTAAATGTCACCTTCCCAGAGAGACCTCTGAATCTCCTAACTGAAAGAGGCCTCCCTGTTATTTTCTCTCAGGGTGCCATCTTGATGTTCCTTATAGCACTTAACCCAAACCATAATGATTTTATTTACTTTTTTAAACATTTGGCCGGGCCCAGTGGCTCACGCCTATAATCCCAGCACTTTGGGAGGCCAAGGCAGGCGAATCACTTGAGGTCAGGAGTTTGAGACCAGCCTGGCCAACATGGCAAAACCCTGTCTCTACTAAAATATAAAAATGAGCCGGGTGTGGTGGCGGGTGCCTGTAATCCCAGCTACTCCCGAGGCTGAGACAGGAGAATCGCTTGAACCTAGGAGGTGGAGGTTGCATTGAGCTGAGATCACACCACTGCTCTTCAACCTGAGTGACAAGAGCAAAACTCCATCCAAAAAAAAAAAATTAAAAAGAAAACATTTTTCCCCCGTTCCTAAAATATAAGCTTTTGCCCTAAGAGCAGGGACCCCATGGGCCTTGTTCCCCACTGTATCTTCATAACCTACCTGGTGCTGGAGGCCTGCTAGGTGACTAATAGTGTTTGTTGAATAAATGACTGGAAGAAATTCACTCAGAAAAGCATGCTATTTTTTTTTCTATCTTTTGCATAGTACAGTGTCTAGATGCTATCCAATGAAGGTTTTTTTTTTTGTTTTTGTTTTTTTTGAGATGGAGTCTCGCCCTGTCACCCAGGCTGTAGTACAGTGGTGCAATCTTGGCTCTGTGCAACCTCTGCCTTCCAGGTTCAAGCGATTCTCCTGTCTCAGCCTTCCAAGTAGCTGGGACTATATAGGTGCCCACCACAACGCCTGGCTAATTTTTTTTTGTATTTTTAGTAGAGACGGGATTTCACCATGTTAGCCAGAATGGTCTCGATCTCCTGATCTTGTGATTCCCCCGCCTCAGCCTCCCAAGTGCTGAGATTACAGGCGTGAGCCACCACACCCAGCCGAAATATTGCTTTTTTAAAACACTTTTTTGCCATTACTTTTAATGGCAAAAACTACAATTACTTTTGCACCAACCTAATATTAACTACCTAGTTAACGTTTTCCCCATTTTACTAAAAATAGAGTGTAGGGAGAATAAATAAAGGTAGTGGAATGTTTCCCTGGCTGTTATCCAGGGAATTCAAGGTTAGCCATAAATTGGGTTGCATTTAATTTAAGATATTTGTACCTTTCATGGGGCTTTACAATCTAAAAAGGCATGCCTGGCCAGGTGCAGAGGCTGAGGTGGGAGGATTTATTGTGACCACGAGTTCAAGACCAGCCTGGTCAACATAGCAAGACCCCATCCCTACTTAAAAATGAAATAGGGCTGGGCATGGTAGCTCATGCCTATAATCCCAACCCTTTGGGAGGCTGAGGTGGGTGGGTCGCTTGAGCCCAACAGTTTGAGACCAGCCTGAGCAACATGGCAAAATCCCATATCTACTAAAAACACAAAAATTAGCCAGGCATGGTGGCACGTGCCTGTAATCCCAGCTACTGGGGAGGCTGAGGCACGAGAATCACTTGAACCTGGGAGGCAGAGGTTGCAGTGAGCCAAGATCACACCTCTGCACTCCAGCCTGGGTGACAGAGCAAGACTTCATCTCAAAAAATAAAATTAAATTAAATTTAAAAGATTTTTAAAAAATAAAAGGGTGTGCCTATACTAGTAACAGCAACTAAAACTACCATTACTGAACAGGTGTCAGGCACTCTGCCAATGCTTTTCATAGTTTATTTCATTTGGTCCTTACAACACCTGTAACACACATGATATCCTTATATCCATTTTACAGATGTGGACATCGAAGCTCACAGATGTTGGGTAACTCGTTCAAGGTCTCACCACGTGGTTCCGCAGACCTGAACCACGGTCTGCTGGTTCTTTGGAAAGACCATTTCTGATGGAAGGTCTCGGTACTGCTTCCTAGCCTGGAACACCCCCATACCTGCACACGGCCTGTCACACCACCCACTGCTGATGGTGCTGTGGCCAGGCTGACTCTGAAAGAGTACTGAGGAGGGAGGTGCAGCTGTGTTTTCAACTCTGTGGCTGCCAAGAAAATGGGCCTTTCTCGGACGGGCGCGGTGGCTCACGCCTGTAAGCCCAGCACTTTGGGAGGCCGAGGCGGGTGGATCACGAGGTCAGGAGATCGAGACCATCCTGGCTAACACAGTGAAACCCCATCTCTACTAAAAATCAAAAATATTAGCCGGGCGTGGTGGTGGGCGCCTGTAGTCCCAGCTACTCGGGAGACTGAGGCAGGTGAATGGCGTGAACCCGGGAAGTGGAGTTTGCAGTGAGCTGAGATCACGCCACTGCATTCCAGCCTGGGCGACAGAGCGAGACTCCATCTAAAAAAAAAAAGAAAAGAAAAGAAAGAAAATGGGCTGTTCTCCCTTTTTCTCCCCAGATCGTCTACCTCCGGCGGTTCAAATGCCTGCGGACGCTCAGCCTCTCTGGGAACCCTATCTCTGAGGCAGAGGATTACAAGATGTTCATCTGTGCCTACCTTCCTGACCTCGTGTACCTGGACTTCCGGCGCATTGATGACCACACAGCAAGTGTCTCCCTCTCAGTCTCCCAGCCCTGTGAGACACAGTCCTCAAGCCCCCAGGTTTCTTGGAAAAGAGGCATTGAAGAGTAGCTTTCCCTGCCCACAACTGGGAGAGAAAGGGCAGCTCCCTCCTCCTAATCCCTTTACCTGCCTCTGTCAGAGGGATTCCAGCAGCACCCTTGTGGGTACTGTTTTGTGCATGTTCCCAGGGGCCAGGCCTCTTCCACACACTGTCCCAGGGCCACATCACAGCTGGCCTGCCCTGTCTGGTTTTCCAGATGAAGAAGCTGAGGAGGGCCGGGAGCAGTGGCGCATGCCTGTAATCCCAGCACTTTGGGAGGCTGAGGCGGGAGGATCGCTTGAGTCCAGAAGTTCAAGACCAGCCTGGGCAACATAGGGAGACCCTATCTCTACAGAAACTAGCAAAATTAGCCAGGTGTGGTGGTGCACACCTGGAATCCTGGCTACTCAGGAGGCTGAGGTAGAAGAATTGCTTGAGACCAGGAGTTTGAGGCTGCAGTGAACTGAGAAGATGCCATTGCACTCCAGCCTGGGCAACAGAATGAAAAAATTTAAAAATTAAAAAAGAAAAGAAGTTGAGGAGGCTGAAGGAGGGCAAGCAGTTAGCCAGGATCACTGGCTCAAGGCCAAGCCAGGATTCACCCCAAATTGGTGTCATCCCAGGAGCAGTATTAACAGCTGAGCTCCAGAGGGAACCAGGCCATCAGAGGCCCAGGCCTGCCTCTCAGGGGCGGAGTCAGGGCTGGAGGTAGAGACCTGAGTGTCATCTAAGGATTGCCAGTTGGCAGTACTTAAAGCCATGGTACAGGTGGGATCACTTGGGGCACGTGGAGTGAGGTGAGAAGGGGCGGGGACTGAGTTCTAGAGGTGCCAGCATTCCCTGCCAGGTGCAGGGGGATGAGCCAGTGCGGTGGAGAGAGCCAAGGGCCAGACCCTTGTGACCAGCCCTATGACCTCACTCTACCTCTGTCCTGTTGTCCTCCTTCCCCAAATAAAGCCAGAAGGTCTGCTGAGGACTGTTGGGAGTGAGAGAGCAAGTCCTCTGTGGAGAACACCCAGTCTGGGGCGAGGGGAGCACTCCATTGCTGTGGCTCCTGCCCTGGGGTTGGCCCCGGGAACCCCAGCCTGCCACGCTGCCTTCTGCTCCTCCTGGTCTTTCCCTGATTTCCCTGCACTCACAAAAACCTGGTGAGGGTCATCAGGAGATGGGCATTCTCATCCACGAGACCTCGTGGCTTTCACAGCCTTCACGCAGGCCCCTGTGCAACATCCCTGCCCACACGCAGGAGGCTGCAGTGTGGCAGAGGAGGCATGGCAGAGGCGGCGTGGCTCGGAGGGACCTCCTGTAATGATGCCACTCCCATTCCCTGGTCAGAAAGAGCTTGCAGAGGCTAAGCACCAGTACAGCATCGACGAGCTGAAGCACCAGGAGAACCTGATGCAGGTCCGGCTGCAGGACGAGCGGGCGCGGCAGGAGGAGCTGGAGAAGCACAAGGTACCGCTCTGGCAGGCTACACGCCCTGGGCCCCGCTCAGAGATGCCCACAAGAGGGCACTGATCAAGTAAAATGGTCCGCAGGGATCCCCAGGCTCTGAAAACATAGAAATCATGCTCCCTCCACAGGGCCTGATGCCCTCTCCCCGCCTGGCTCGTCTGCTCCCTGCCCCAGGGCCAGCTTCGTCTCAGTCCTGACCCTACCCCTTATTGGCATTCCTACCTCCAGCTGCTGGAGAGAATGTGCTAAAAACAGTCTGTCAGAGGCCCCTTCAGACCCTTAAGGCAGTTCCCCATGACATGCCAGAAACGGCTCGGGTCCCTTAGCCCATGAATTCATGGCCCTGAATTCATGACTAGACCCTGTTGGTCTCTCTCCCACTGGTCCCCACCCCTCCTTGCAACCAGACTGAGCCATGTGTAACATTCTGGAAACAGCCTGCAGTTTTACGCCTCTGCACCTCTGCACATGCCATTCTCTTTGCCTGGAACATGCCCCCTCCTGACCTGCCTTCCTCATGGGCCTGTGAGACGATGCAGGAGCCCCTGACAGGAGCCGTCCTACCTAGGTGTGTTTCTGCCTGCAGACTGCGTTTGTGGAACACCTGAACGGCTCCTTCCTGTTTGACAGCATGTATGCTGAGGACTCAGAGGGCAACAAACTGTCCTACCTGCCTGGTGTCAGTGAGCTCCTTGAGGCATATCCTTCCGAGTTCATGGCTGTCTCACAGCCTGTGCCACCAGCCTGCCTTGGCAAGACTCCTTCCGCTCTAGGCCTCAGTTTCTCCATCTCTCTTGTAAGACCCTGGGAGGCAAAATCTCCACTTGAGAGTAATGTACCCAAGAGGCAGTTCAGAGCCAGGTCAGCTGAGCTGCATGGGGGAGATGCTGTCTGGATTTCAGGGACATGTGGAGTATCTGGTCAGCATGGCATGGGCTGGCCGTCTTTGGCAAGCCAGGTTTTCAGCGGTGGAGAAGTGGATTGAAATGTGTTCTCATTAGCCGTACTTGCTTGTCCCTGTTGTGCACTTGGATCTGGTATTTATTGTTTTCTCAACCACCCCACTAGGCAGGTACCATCATTAACCCCATTTTATAGTTGGGGGAAACATAGCTTGACTGTCCAGGGTCACCCCATTAGAGGCCAGCTTTTGAAGCTTTGTCTGTGGGGCCTGAGAAGCTGATTCTTTCCCCAGTTGCTTGGAGCCCAGAGGATGTGGTTGGTACCTGTCATTAGGGCCATGGCCATGACCGCCAACCAGTGGGCTTAAATTGTGAGCTGAGGGACTCAGGACAGAATCAAGGAGCTCCTGGATCTGAGAGCTCTGAGCTAAGGCATCCAGTCACAGATGAGTCTGTGGAGCCACCTTCACTGGATAGAGAGAAATTCACTCAAAAACCTGACCTTCTGGGCCTATGAGGTGGCTCATGCCTATAATCCCAGCACTTCGGGAGGCCAAGGCAGGAGGATTGTTTGAGGCCAGGAATTTGAGACCAGTCTAGGCAACATAGTGAGACCCTATCTGATCAGTCTGTTTTCACGTTCCTGATAAAGACATACTTGAGACTGGGCAATTTACAAAAGAAAGAGGTTTTGGGTTTTGTTTTGTTTTGTTTTTTTGAGACAGCGTTTCGCCCTTGTTGCCCAGGCTGGAGTGCAATTGTGCAATCTCGACTTACTGCAACCTCTACCTCCTGGGTTCAAGTGGTTTTCCTGCCTCAACTTCCCAAGTAGTTGGGATTACAGGCATGTGCCACCACACCCGGTTAATTTTTTTTTTTGTGTTTAGTAGAGACTGGGTTTCACTATGTTGGTCAGGCTGGTCTCCAACTCCTGACCTCAGGTGATCCACCTGCCTTAGCCTCCCAAAGTGTTGGGATTACAGGCGAGAGCCACCATGCCCAGCCAGAAAGAGGTTTAATTGGATAGACAGTTCCACATGGCTGGCGAGGCCTCACAATCATGGCAGAAGGCAAGGAGGAGCAAGTCACATCTTATGTGAGTGGTGGGCAAAGAAAGAGCCTGTGCAGGGAAACTCCCATTTTTAAAACCATCAGATCTCGTGAGACTCATTCACTATCACGAGAACAGCGCAGGAAAGACCCACCCCCATAATTCAGTTACCCTCCACCGGGTTCCTCCCAGAACACATGGGAATTGTGAGAGGTGCAGTTCAAGATGAGTTCGGTTGGGGACACAGCCAAACCATATCACCATCTCTCAAAAACAACCAAACACACCTGACATTCTGGAAAGAATGAGGGCAGGGTGGTGAGGAACAGGGAACAGCAGAGCTCCTGGGCTGGGTTGTTTCTGCCAGCTGGTGACCCAGGTTTGCCTTGGCTGTAGCCCCGTGTAGCCATGTGACTTCGGCAAGGCATTTCATCTCTCCGGGCATCAGTTTCCATCCCACAGGACCACCAAGGTCCGGTGGGCTTTACCTTCCTGACTCCAAGGACTCCATGTGGCAGGCTCTTTTGCACCCTCAGCTGCAGATGAGGAAACTGAGGCCCAGAGAGGTGAAGTGACTTGCCAGGATGGGTCCTGGAAGCAGTGGCAGAGCCAGGACTTGAACGTCCCCAGTACAACTGCAGCAGCTGAGCGCCAAGACAGGCCCTCAGTAAGGGTGCCCTTCCAGATAGCACACAAGAGACAGAAACGCACACTGCCTGCTTCCCCAGCTGGGACCGGCTCACAGGCCCCCAGGTTCCCTAGGCCTCTCTTCTGGGACCTCTCTGAGCATGTCTGCCTTCTGCTCTATAGACTCCCCAGTGGTCCCTGCCTCCTTCCTTCGCACAGGCCCCATTCCTGAGTCCCTCAGGCTGAGGGTGGGGACGCACCAAACACACATTGTACCCACATCTCAGTCCTGGCTCTCTGGGCCTTTGATTTCTTCATCCACCAAATGAACCACATGAGACCAGGAGTTTGAGTCCCACACACTGTTGAGCGCACAGTGCCAGGGTTACCAACACCTTTGCCATGCCCTCCGCAGCCTGCTCCTGAAACAGCTGTGGACTTCCTTAACGGCCACTCACCTACAAGGACAAGTTTGTCATCATCTGCGTGAACATTTTTGAGTATGGCCTGAAACAGCAGGAGAAGCGGAAAATAGAGCTTGACACCTTCAGTGAATGTGTCCACGAGGCTATCCAGGAAAACCAGGAGCAGGGCAAACGCAAGATTGCCCAGTTCGAGGAGAAGCACTTGTCGGTAGGCCCCGAGCCTCCTGAGGCCCTCCCTGCCTCCTGCTGGAGGCCCTCCCTGCTCTTGCCACCCCCACTGTAGAGGGGCTGCAACTCCTGTACCCTCTGACGACCCCTGAGGCCAGTGGTTATTGTCCCCATTTGCCAGAGATCACACAGCTAATCAGTGGCAGAGCCAAGGCCTGCCTTACCCCAGCCCCACCAACTACAGCTCCCCACCACTTGACGTGTGGCCTGTGGATCTTTGTCACACAAAGCGCCCTTGGGATTCAAGGTCAGCTCCATCCCCGAACTTATCATCATCATTACTATTAATAACAGTATTAGTATTACCATTACTATTTTGACTAATGATTACCGTCCTTTTGTTCATTCATTCATTCATTTAATAGACGTTTTCTGAGCTCTACTCTCTGCCTGCTCCTAGGAAGCTAGAGCCACACTGGACATGGTTCCTGCTCTTGTGGGGCTCAGACCCAGGCCCAGGCCCCAGCCCTGACCTGAGCAAGCAGAGGAATCAGTGCCATCCTGGAGGGAAGCCTGGGGAGCCTTGGGGGTGCCCTGGGGGCACCTTATCTCAGGCGGGGGAGTTTAGGGAAGGCTGAGGCTCACAGAAGAAAGAAAAGTTGATGGAGAGGAAGGGTGCTCCTCCACCCTCTAGGAGCAGCAAAGGAGAAGGCTCTGGGTGGTCAGGACTCGGCCTAACCAGGCCATGGGGTCCAGCCCAAGCAGAGGCCATTGGGAAGGGCACCAGTCTTTGTATTTGATGGCAGCTGCCTCTTTGAGTTGGCATTACTTTTAAAGACAGGATGCTTAGCCTATTGTAAATCACAGATCTTTGTGAGATGCTAAGGAAAGCTGTGGACCTTCTTTTTCCGCCAAAAACTGTTACACACCAAGCTTGCTTGTAGCATAAGGGGCTTTAGGGATCCCATAAGGCCCTTCCTTGTTGTGAACTTAAAGTAGAGCAAAGTCCCTCGATGCGCAAGTTCAGATCCGATGGAGTCGATGATCCACTCCCAGGTGCTTCCCGCCTCCCCCACGGCCACCCCCATTCCTGTCTCATTAACCTCCAGGGCCTCACATGCTGTGTGATTTAATTCTCAAGACCCTCCTTATTCTATTTTAGGGAGCAGGGGTTACTGTGTTCAACTAGAAGTTCAAAACTGTCGGCAGAGGAATACATTTGGCTCACATATGTGTTTTATTTGGCCTGTGTAGGGTTTTAAAACATTTTGAACATCCTGCTGACATTAGAAACTAGCAGATTTCGCAGAAAAATTTGTGGTTGCCAGCTTCTCTGGAAGCAGCTGTCATCAGGGCTTGAGTGGCAGTTGTCCCCTCTGGACAGGTCATGTCTCCAGTCCCCCCAGTCCCTGTCCAGCCTTTCTTCCTGACATTTATCTGGTCCCTGTAGCCACTGGGCTTGGGAGTGTCAGCTATCCGGTGCTTCCTGAGGCCCGGTGCAGGGACCCAGCCCTTCAGCAGCGAGTCCCTCTGCAGAAGTAGGATGTGGGCCATGCCAAGCCTGATTTGGAGCATGGAACGTGCCACTTGCTCCTCCATTCAGGCACCTGCCTTCAGTGTGGGCCAGCTCCTCAAAGGCCACCTCGGACGAGTTGACTACCCTAGTGCTCCCCTTCTAGAGCCAAGAGCAGTGGATCCTGCCCAGCCTGCATGTGGAGTCCCCGGGTCCTGGAAATGTGCTCGCATCCAGGCCCAGCAGCACCCACTTAGACTGGGGCGTGGCCTGGCACAGAGATTTTCCATTATTCCACGGGTGCTTTCCATGCACAGCCTAGATAGAGGCCACTGACTTAGAAGTTCCCAAGACCCCATAGGCCCTGCAGACCCCCAGTTCCCTTCCTGACAGGCCCTCTCCTATAGTTTTTCCTACGCTCCTCCCACTCACCCCCATTAGGCCTCATCCACTGCACACGCGCTGCTCCAGGTGCCCAGTGAGCCACGTTTCAGGGTCATGGTGCAGCCATGTAAGGCTTGGGGCTCAGGCAGACTCCTCACTGGTGACCCAGAGATCCATTATGGACCCTCTCCTAGCCTCCATTTCCTCATGTGCAGAACAGAGATAACCACCTCGAAGAACTGTAGTGAGAAACAGAGACAGAGAGGGAAAGCACTTGTGCAAGGCCTGGAGCAGAGTCAGCCTAAAAGGATGACAGCACGTCTGTGTGTAGTCAGCTGCACTCTCGAATGGGTGGTGTGTGCACATGGCACAGACTGAACAATGACCACCGGGGGATATGGTCTCCCTCCTACTCCTGTATCTGTGTGTGTGTGTGTGTGTGTGTGTGTGTGTGTGTGTGTGTGTACGCGCGCGCGCGCATGCGCGTAGCATGCCCTATTGTGTATTTTGCTTTCCTGTGTGTGTGTGAGCATAGCATGCCCTGTTCTGTACTTTGCTTTCCTGTGTGTGTGAGCATAGCATGCCCTATTCTATACTTTGCTTTCTTGTGTATGTGTGTGTATGTGTGTGCATAGCTTGCCCTGTTCTGTACTTTGCTTTCCTATGTTAGGTATCTTGGAGAGCCTTCCAAAATGAAAAAGTTACTTCATTTTTTTATAACTAAAATATCACATTGCATGGGTGAGCCGTAATTATTTAGCCAGTCCCTGTTGATGAACAGTTAGGTTTTTTCCCAATCTTTTGCTCTTTAGTGTTCCACTGAATAAGTTGGTGCAAGTTTGACCTGCAGGATGAAGTCCTAAAAGTGGAAACTGTGCAGTGTTGTTTCTCATGGTTATTTGTCCAACTGTAACCCACAGAACCTTTACCCTCCACAGCCATCGTCAGGCCAGTGTCATGGGCTTCCTCATTTTGCCAGTCTGTGCACCCTGAGTATGCATTTATTTTCTCTTAAGTGGGGATGAGCAATACATGTTTTACAACCATTTGTGTTTCTTATTCTGTGAATTATTTGTACTTATATTTTGCCCTTGCCCACTTTTCTATTGGGTTTTTGGTTTCTCTCTCCCTCTCTCTCAAATTATTTATTATTACTATTTTTAGAGAGAGGGTCTAACTCCATTGCCCAGGTTGGAGTACAGTGCACCATTATAGCTCACTGCAGCCTTGAACTCCTGGGCTCAAGCAATCCTCCTCTCTCAGCCTCCTGGGTAGCTGGGACTACAGGAACACAACACCACACCTGGCTGTTTCTTTCTTTTTTTCTTTTTCTTTTTTTAGCTAGTCAAATTTAGCAGTGGGAGATTGTATATCAACTTTAGTGACCCACCAAATTTAATAAGTTCTGATAACCTACTACCATCAGACCAGACCTTTCTTTTTTAAAAAGTTATTACCTGGCTGGGCATGGTAGCTCACGTCTGTAATCTCAGCACTTTGGGAGGCCAAGGTGGGTGGATCACTTGAGGTCAGGAGCTCGAGACCAGCCTGGACAACATGGTAAAACCCCATCTCTACTAAAAATACAAAAATTAGCCAGGGTGGTGGTGCACGCCTGTAATCCCAGCTACTTGGGAGGCTGAGGCAGGAGAATCACTTGAATCAGGAGGTGGAGGTTGCAGTGAGCCAAGATCGTGCCACTGCACTCCAGCCTGGGCAATAGAGCAAGACTGTCTCAAAAAATAAAAAAAAAAAGTTATTACTTTGTAGGAGCTCTTTATAGATTTTGTCAGTGAAATTAAGGGCAGATATTTTTCCCGGTTTGTGTTTTATCTTGCAGTGTTGTCTGTGGTGCTTTTACCATTCAGAATTAAAATTTTTTTGGCTGGGGGAGGTGGTTCACAACTGTAATCCCAGCACTTTGGGAAGCTGTGGCAGGAAGATCGCTTGAGCCCAGCAGTTTGAGAGCAGCCTGGGCAACATAGTAAGACCCCGTCTTAAAAGTAAATACATAAATAAATTTAAAATAATTTTTAAATTTTTAAGGTAGTAGAATTTACCAATCTTCTGGTTATACTTGGCAAGGTCTCAGATTATTTACTAAAAATCTCCCAGGTTTAGCCGGACACAGTGGCTTATGCATGTAATCCCAGCACTTTGGGAGACCAAGACAGGTGAATAACCTGAGGTCGGGGGTTTGAGAGCAGCCTGGCCAACATGGTGAAACCCCGTGTCTACTAAAAATACAAAAATTCACTGGGCTTGGTGGCAGGCACCTGTATTCCCAGCTACTCGGGAAGCTGAAGCGAGAGAATCGCTTAAAACTGGGAGACAGAGGTTGCAGTGAACCGAGATCGCATCCCTGCACTCCAGCCTGGGTAACAGAGTGAGACTCTGTCTCAAAGGAAAAAAAAAAAAAACTCCCAGGTTTTCTGCTAGCACTTTTATGGTTTAACTTTTTACATTTGAATCTTCATCAGTAATTTGTTTTCATGTAATGTTTGAGGTAGGGATCGAGCCTGGTTTTTCTCCAGAGAGTGTAGCTATTATCATGTCATTCACCCCCCTCAATCATGCTGTTACTCCATCCTCCTTCATGACTAGTACCAGGCATCAACAAAAACAAGCCAACATCACATCTGGTGTTGGTGGTAACCCAGGCCCTTTGCTGGTAAGCAGCTGGTAGTCAGTGCTGTTTGGACCCCAGGTTGCCATATACCCTCTGAGCACCCCCTCATTCCAAAGGGCTCAGCATCTATTTAGCAGTAGCTTCCACTTGCTCACTGGGGTTCTGTGTGGGTTCAATTCATCTCCTCAAAGACTGGAACTGTCTTTCCTTGCCAGGGTTTTTCCTGGCCTGTGCCTGTGACAGGCCTTTTATAGGAGCCTCCGATAGCCGAGCTGTACTCTGCGCCAGGTGCTTCCTCTGATCCCCAGGACCCTGTGAGGCAGAGATGCTTCTCCCCATTTACAGTGAGGAAACTGAGTCAGAGAATGAAAGTGGGTCTGTCAAGGTCACACTGCTAAGTGACCCAGGCAGGATTCAAATTCAGGTCCACCTAAATCTGAAGTTGTAAGGCAGGTAAATTTTTTCCTCTAGCTTATCAGGGTCACTGACTAGGACCAAGAATTAAACTGACATAAGACAAACAAGAGAAAAGCATACAAATTTTACTGAGTAATTTTCACATGTACATGGGACCATGCACAAGCAAAATGAAGACTCAAGAAGCCGTTAGGGCCAAAAGCTTCTACACTTGGTTGGACAGACAGTAGTGAATTGTGAGAATGTGACAAGACAAAGAGGTTTGGGCTAAGGCAGTTCATCGTGGAGAAGTGACGAGGCAGATGAGGGTAAGTTTCACAAGGCTTGTTCACACAGATTCCGCTTGGCCCGCACTCCCTCCCTCTGATGATAAGAATGGCTTCTTGGCCGGGTGCAGTGGCTCACGCCTGTAATCCCAGCACTTTGGGAGGCCGAGGTGGGTGGATCACGAGGTCAGGAGTTCAAGACCAGTCTGGCCAAGATGGTGAAACCCCGTCTCTACTAAAAATACAAAAAAATTAGGCAGGCATGGTGGCAGGTGCCTGTAATCCAGCTACTCAGGAGGCTGAGGCAGAGAATTGCTTGAACTCAGGAGGCAGAGATTGCAGTGAGCCGAGATCATGCCATTGCACTCCAGCCTGGGCGACAGAGCAAGACTACGTCTTTAAAAAA